CTTTCAGTGTTAAAATTGTAAATTAATATCACACAAACGCGCGGTGTATGCCTTAACAGTTTAAGCCTGTAGGAAAATCACAGTGAAACCCTCCACCAAACAGTTTCCTCCCTTGTCGTAGCAGGGAAGCATGATGGCCATGGCGTAAACGCCTGCAGTGAACTAAAAGGAATCATGTGTATTCCTCTTAGTTCACTGCTGGCTCGAGATGAAGGGCTGGCTATAGATGGCCTCTCCGTGTGGGCTTAACAAGCCCACATCAGATGTGTGTTGGTAGACTAGGTCGAAAGGGTTGTCCTCTCCTCCTACCGCCAAACCCAAGGAGAGTCACGGAGGAATAGTGGTATGGCATTACGAGTACGTCACTCGCGCAGAGGCAATGCTAGGGGTAGAGGGTCCGTTAAGCATGTGGAATTTGAGGACACAGAGTAAGAACGTGAGGTGGCCGCTACTGGTGGAGATTTGTGCGAAAGCGTTCCCGTGGCTCTGCTAATAATCAGAAAAGGTGGAACACTATGGGGTTTCAGTCGGTGCTGCATAAGTCGTACTTGCTTTCACAAGGCGGGTATCTGTAGGCACTACCCCATGTGAAATAGGACATCTACAGGTTCGTTGATTCCTATACCAGATCCGAATCTAAATAGGAATCAGTTTATATTTATTTTTAAATTATGACCAGGCAAATCCACAAAGTGTTCATATAAACTATTATACGAGCTATGTATTAATATGGTAGATCCACGCTGCAGCTATTTATGTTTGTATCATAAATGAATCGGCCCGACCGGAGAAGAACCATGCTCTCACAGAATACCAGAGTAAAGTAGCAGTTTAATGCTGTTGTATTTCATACGGTGAATATTCGGAAGCAGAGATACTTTTTATTGGAAACGAGGCATTCTATCTTCACTCTCAGGAGTGACAACCCATTTAAGTATATCTTGGTCCTTAATCGAGGATAAATGTAGATATCACTTATCATCAGGTTGACTTTGTGCTCCCCTTGTTCTACAAAAATGATAGAAAGGTGACAACGCATCTGCAATTTGGTTCTAAATCGATAATAGATACAGACATCACTTAGAGTGCTGTGTACTCGCATTTCCCTTTAATTGTTTAAAAATAAAACTTCTATTTAAAAAAATTACATTTTTGTTACAATATAAATATTTTTGTTTTGTAAATATTAAAGTGATGGTGTTAGAAATTAAGCACCTAAGGTTTATGAATGAATACTTATTTAATTATCAAATAGACTTTAAAGCTCACTTAATATCACACGCAACTGCGTTTACGACCAATATACAACTATGCGCGATCCTCCCCCGAATGTGTGCATGCGGAGTAAAATAGTAGCCGTTAGATATTTATGAATGTGAATCGGTTAAAATATTGCATTCAAACGCATTCTAAATTTAAAAGATAAAAAGGACAGAATATATAATTTTTTTTTTATTAATTTTTCTTCGTATATTGCAAAAGAACCCTCTAAATATATTTTTCTTATTGTATATTTAATGTGTTTATTTATTATATCGTATTGATTAAGTTGCTATTCAGTGAAACCTACAGTGGTGGACCATCAAGCATCCAGATGGTGTGGATAATATCGGGAGTTTCGCCGCGATGTGTATTCGTGAAACTTGGTGTCTGACATTAATCCGAACAATTCCTCAGAGCACTACCTGTGGTAAATGCGAAAGAAAATGCAAAAAGATGCAACATCTCGAAAGGACTCGGTCATCGACGATTCGAGCCATTCTGCGCTGGATGCAGTGAAGTGCAAGGAGCTGGCACTAGGGAGCCCCAGCAGCATTTGAGGCCGAACCTGCGCCTTGTAAAGATGCAGGCGGTGTACCGGCATGAATACGGCAAAAGCTTGGCGTGCTCAGCGGCGTTCTGCTGAGCACGCCAAGCTCTTTAGAGGCCAATTTGGCCTTCTCTTTCAAGTGGCCACGAAACTGCACGTCACTCGATAAATCGACGCCGAGGATTCCGATACTGGCTGAGGCAATAAAGGGAGTGCCTTGAAACTGAGGAGATACGACAAAGGGGTTCTTTTTAGCGGTAAACGCGCAAACTTGTGTCTTCTGAGGATTAAATTTGACTAGATTTAGTCGCCCCTAATCCGAGACTTTGTTTAGCAAAGACTCGACTTCAGACACAAGTTTGTTGTGGTACTCGGCGACGTTTTCCCGCGAAATATTGTTACGGCCGGTATATAGAGCATCACAAGTGCTGTCATCCGCATAGCAATTAATGTTACCAGTTTGCAACATATCATTGATATGCAGAAGAAACAGCGTTGGTGATAGCACACAGCCTTGTGGAACACCAGCGTTAATAGGCTTGTAGTCGGAGCATGCACCGTCTACAACGACCTTAATTCTCCGATCTGCAAGGAAGATGGTGATCCAATTGCACAATTTCTTAGGAAGCCCATAGGAAGGGAGCTTCGAAAGAAGCGCTTTGTGCCAAACCCGATCGAAGGCCTTCGCAATGTCCAACCTAACGGCCAATGCCTCCCCCTTGGACTCTACTGCCTCCGCCCATCTATAAGTTTTCTTCCGCGTACGACTGTGGAATTGTTTACCACCGGCGATTTTTTTTATTTCGAAGAGCTTACTTCTTTTTAAAAGGCCCACAACGCACTTGCAATTCCCCTGCTGTTGCAGTTTTTCATCAGGTGAGCTGTTTTTGCACGTTTGCCCCCTCTCATATAAAAAGCCACATTCTCGTTTTGTATCAAAAATCTGTAAAGAACATTATGTTAATTAGATTAGATTGATTTTTAACAGTGGTAGAGCCACCCGGCAGCTTTTGCTGTTGCACGGATGGGCCGGCTCGAACCGGGGTGGTACCACGACCTCACAGAATACCAGCGTGAAGTAGAGGTTTACCTCTGCGTTTCGCTTGGTGAGTGCAGGTGGCCGGAGGCCCTTTTTACTGGAAATGAGGCATTCCATCTTAGTCCTCACGGGTGACAACGCATCTGCATTTTGATTCGCAAACGAGGATAGATGTAGATGTCTATGGGCCGCAGCAACCACTTACCATCAGGTGGACTGTGTGCTCGTTGGTCACCCTTATCCTATAAAAAAAAAAAAGATATTTTTATATACATTGCATATTATCCTAAAATTATAGCTATCTGAAAAATTAAAAAAAGAATATGTTTCTTAAAATGAAACAAACCTTTACAAATTTGCCACCATGTCTTGCGTATGTGGACTATGAGTAAGTCTTTGATTCCGTAGAAATTTGGGTAGTGCTGTAGTCCCTTCAGCGCTGCCAAGTTGACTGTCGGTAAATTGAAGTGCTGAAGTATTGAATTAGAGTATGAAACCCATCCAACTGCAGAGAGATGTAAGACAGAAACTTTCCACCGCTGCATTGGAAGACGTCTTCAAGCTACTGGACTGAAAAGGATACGGTACTATCGCCAATAGCGAGTACGTAACTCACCTTCGATTTGCCGACGATATAGTCCTTAGGGCAGAATCGCTGGAGGACCTAAGCACTATGCTCAATGACCTCAATAGTGTCTCCCAACGGATAGATCTTAAGATGAACATGGATAAAACAAAAGTGGTGTGGAACGTCCATGTCACACCTCTGCCGGTAGTTGTTGGGGACACTTCGCTCGAAGTTGTTGTTGAGTATTTTTACCTGGACAAATAGTCCGACTAGATCAGCAAAACTTCGACCGAGAGGTCAATCACGTATTCAACTTGGCTGGGCAGCGTTTGGGAAATCACGGCATATTTTCTCGTTGGGTATACCTCAAAACTTAAGAACTAGAATGTACAACCAGTGCGTGTTCCCAGTGATGACCTATGGAAATGAAACATGGTCCGTCACTGCTGGCCGTATCAGGAAGCTCAAGGTCGCTCAGCGAGCTATGGAGAGGACTTTGCTCGGGGTTTCTCTGTGTGATAAACTTAGAAATGAGGATATCCGCAGTAGAACCAGAATTACCACATAGCCCAACGGATTGGTAAGCTGAAGTGCCATATAGCCATATAGCTCGCAGAACCGACAACCGATGGGGAAAAAAGGTTTGCGAGTGGCAGCTTCGTACCGGACGAAGAGTAGGCCGTCCCCCTACCAGATGGAGTGAGGAACTGGTAAGACATGCAGGAAGTCGATGGATGCAGATAACTCAGGACCGTGCTTTGTGGCATTCCTTGGGGGAGGCCTACGTTCAGCAGTAGACTTGTGAAGGGCTGCAATGATGTAAAGTAAAGTTAAACTTGCAGCCTATTTACAACCCACTGCTGGACACAGGCCTCCTCTCATTTCTGAGAAGGTTTTAGGGCAAGGAAATATCCGCCGCACTGCCCCAATGCGTGTTGGCGAACTTCACATGTCTTCGAAATATTTTTTTTCTTATTTCTTAGACATGCAGGTTTCCTCACGATGTTTTCCTTCACCGCCGAGCACGTGGTAAATCATCACTTAAAATTGCAATTAACAATGTCATTGGTCCCGGCGGGGATCGAATCCGGGTTGCTCGAGTACTGTGTAGCTTACAGCGAGCGCTAACCATCTGAGCTACCACGGCTCCCTGTAACAAAATTCCTCTGTCCTGGGAAGAACCAGCAAGAAATGCAGCGGGAATATTTTTTCAAACATATTTCACTTAAGAATAATTTTGTTCATACAATTTTTAAATGCATCACTCATACAAAACTTGTCAATAATCTGACTTATATAATTTTCCTGTATATATTGTTAATTATACATTCTATTTGCATGCCCACAAAATACTTGAACTCTAACTCTTTGATTTTAAAAGCTTGTTTTAAAAATTCTATTATCTCTATAAGCTGTTTATTTGAAGATATTACAAGAGCATCATCAACATAAATTATTAGGAAGACTTTAGTTCTATCGAAAAATCCAATGTAAATACAATGATCAGCCTGAGATTGAACAAAATCATACTTTGTAAATTACAAACTCTGTAAATGTTTTGTTCTAGCAACTAGATGCCTGTTTTAAACCATACAGTGATTAATTAATTTTAACACAAGATCACTTTTAATTGATAAACCCTCAGGTATATTTATAAAAATATCCTCTTCAAGATACCTATTTAAAAAGGCAGTCTTTACATGAAACTGCTGAATTTTTAAGTTATACTTTGCAGCAACAGAAAGTATAATTCTTATAGAATTATAACGGGTTGTTGGAGAGAATATTTCTTGATAATCAATATCCTTAATCTGATTAAACCCTCGTGCACATAAACAAGCCTTATAGCGTGCAATCTGATTATTCTCATTCTTCTTTATGGTGAAAACCCACTTGGTACTAAGGTTTCGTTGACCAGACTTTTCTTCTCTTATAGCTTTATACCACACAGCCTTTTGTGGACTATTCAGTGCTTCTGCATATGTTTGAGGCAATGACAGCTCTACCAGATTTGCTTCATAATTTCTATTGATGCGTGGTCTTAAACTTTTTGTATGTATTGTTGAATCTTGCAATTCTCGAGATGGTTCACAGTCTGAGTCATCACCGGTACAACTCAGCATGCTATCTTCGCTCTCTGTTAACTGACTTTCAACTAGAGTATCATCCACATTAGATTCTTGTGCTTCACTCTCATTCACATTTGTAACTTCATCATCAAGAATAACTATTTGTGCAATATTTTATACTTGGAACATGATGTTCATCAAACATTACATTTCTTGAAATAGTTATTTTCTTTGTATTCATATCATACATTATGTAATTGATGTTGTCATAGCCAACTAGTATCATTTTCTTGCTTTTCTTTTCCAATTTTGTTCTTAATTGATCTGGAACATGAACATAGGCTATACTACCAAACACTTTCACATGTCCTGATTGGGGTTTGATCCTGTTCCACAATTTAAAAGGTGTTGTATTTGGAGTCTGGGTGGAGGATGTTCTATTCAATATATATGTAGCATATTGTACAGCTTCTGCCCACAGATCCAATGGGACATCTTGCGTATACAACATTGAACGTGCACATTCAACTAAGATACGATTTTCCCTTTCATATATATGGTGCAGTACGTTCATGAACTATCCCCTGTCTCTTCAAATACTCTTTGAAAGCTTTATTTACATACTCTGTTCCATTGTCGGTATGTAATATTCTGACATTGTGCATGTATTTATTCTTCATCATAGCATTGTATGTTTTGAAGGCTGCCATGACATCACTTTTATATTTCATAAAATACACATGCCTGTAACTTATTTCAGCGTTCTTGAATAGTAAGAAATATCTCATACCTTGAATAGATAAGATACTCATAGGTGCACAAACGTCGTTATAAACTAGATAACCTGGCTGTAGTTCTCCTCGCTCAGATTTGTGAAATGGAAACTTGCACTGCTTCCCATATGCACATGCTTCACATACAAAATTGTTTTGTCCATTGTCAATAATTTCCAGTCCATTCACAACTTTATTTGCACTCATGTTTTTAATTTGTTTCATATTAATATGCCTTAACCTTTCATAGCATATTTTCATATCACTTTGGCTATTTTGAACCAAGTTACGTGTATCTGGAACCACTGTTTTATGGTCAACTCATATAAATTGTTTTCTTTAATATTTGCACTCATCACCACTTGTTGTTTTTATAAATCAGGGCACTTGTGTCTTTCTTTACAATAGAATATAATTTTCGTATGACCACCCCTTCAGAGAATAAGTTTCTTCTTAAACTTGGAACATACAACACGTCATTCAGTTCACTGGTCTCCCACTGTTCATTGACATATCTCTGTATCATCACTTTTCCAATACCAGATACTTCCATAGATTCTTTATTTCCCAATGTCAATGATTTCTGGTTACATTCAGATAAATCCACAAAGAAATCCTTTCTAAATGTCATATGGGCAGAGGCACCGCTATCTAGAATCCAAGTATTCTCTTCAGCATTACATGAATTATTTTCAACATAAAATTCTAACATATCTGCACCTTCTTGCCGAGGTTTTCTAGCCTTGGATTGTCTTGTAGCACGAAATTCTCTGGCGAAATGCCCCCGCTTGCCACAATTATAGCATTCGAACCGATGTTTCTTAGCTATATAATTCTGATTTGTATTGCTCTCACTCGCTACTTGTTTATTTTGTTTTGGCTTTGTTTCCACCCTTTATTGGTAACAAGAAGAGCAGTCTCCTGTTCTCCTTCACCTGATAAGCTCGCCTCTTCGTCCAATAAACGTGCAGTAAGATTAACAATAGTTTGTTGTTTTGAGTCCAATGACATCCATGCTTGTCGCAGTGCTCTGTACTTGGAAGGCAAAGTTCCTAATAATTTTGTTATAATTGCCATGTCACTGATAGCTTCACCGCTTTCTTTCAGCTGTTTAGCTAAGGTTTCTACTTTTGAAATATGGTGAAGTACACTATCAGCTGGCGCCATCTTGTATTGATAAAACTTTTCGTGGATTAACATTTTGCACAGTTCACTTTTCTGTTCATAGATTGATTCTCATTTTGACATAATCTCCAAGGCAGTTTCGCAATTTCCTATTAGTGTAATTTGTTTGAAGTCCATCGAAGATGTTATGATAAACATTGCCATGCCGTCACTTTTCAACCAATTTGTACAGTCTCCTTGTGGTTTCGGTTTCGTAATATTTATTTCTTTATATTTTAAAGCGCATTTTATCTGGAATTTCTACTGACGAAAGTTGTTTCCATCAAATTTTTCTAAATTCATTGGCTGCATGGAATCCATTTTGAGGTTATTTTGTCAATTATTTCTCAAATACGATTGTAACTTTTTCTTTGCATATTTCTTCTGTACTTCTATGTCCAGAGTTTCCTGGGCCCATAACCTATTGGGTTATGGATTTTTAAATTAAGATAACACTTTATAGTCAATGCAAAACTTATTTATTATATACGACACGATAAAGACATTGCAAGCATACTCAGTTACAATGACATAAGTAGAAAGTGCTGCGACCTGGTATTTTTATTCCTGGTATTCATATCTAAATATAAACCGTGTTGATGAAGTGGTTATCCACGACGACGATGAGCAAAGTCGGAACCATATTTAAGTTACAGATCGACGATCGCAGTACCAGCATTCTCGTGCATATATTTGACACAAATAAACGCATGGATAATGTTCAACAAATAAATTGCGAGTAGCTAAGCTGAATTACCTTCCCTCAGTGTATCGGAGACAGTTTTATTATATAAAAAAAAAAACATAGATTTAAAATAAAGAATACATTTCAAATCATGATGTACACGTTAAATATTGAAAAACTTTCGTAAAGAATCGTTTATTTGTACTAAGATAGCACTTGTCAATCGATCACGTACTAAGGAGAATAAAAAACTAAAAGTTCATCGCTCCGGACGTGATGTGCTGATTCCAATTTACGTTTTGATTAGTATTAGCTTTACGTGACTTTTTTGAGAAGCTTAAACTTGTCCAATAAGGCATAAAATAAATGGTCACCTATTTTCTTTTCTGGAGTATTTCAAAAGCAGAATTTGTGCAATATCACGTTTTATTAAAAGTAATTTTATATATGTAGCGATTTACTGTAGAAGTAGATGTAAAGAATATGTTATTCGATATAATTCCTTGGAGTTTCAAAATTTGTGCGAAATTATATGGTAATCCAGACAAGGTACCAGCTGAGGATGCAACTGCAGCGGAGCTTTTGAAAGCAGTAAGAAAGTTTTGAAGTATAACGTCCAATTCCACGTTCGCCTGGAATAAAATAAATTATATGTATATGTATTATTTGTATAATTCTTAGGCGTATCCTGTAAAATGTGAAAAATTGTTATTAAACAGAAAGAAATTTGGGATGAAACCCGAATAATCAATCCATCTTAGAACAATGGGTCAATTTTATTAAACCATTTGTCTTTTTTACGATCATCCTTGGTACTTTATGGGTCGATCCAGATTCAACCTTTTTTATGTATATTACGATACCTCAGATCAACAAAACAAGAAAGATAGAGAGCTGCGTACATTTTAAGTGATGCAAAAACTCATACAAATCTATGCCCAACTTATTGTAAAAACACTGACGTACCTATGCACCTTAAGTGATTTGATAATATCAAGATGGTTCAGTTCAATAAAGAAAGAAAAAATATGTATGCGGGAATGCGTGTGAAGAAGTTGCGCATAGTTTCAACATAACCCGAATTGTACTCAGCACTCTATTTTTCTTTATTGGTATACAAAAACAAAGTAGTAATATTTTATTTACAATCATAAAAATGTTCAAAGGTATTCTGCAACAAGTACCTTAATGCTGCTGTGTTTCGTTTCGTGAGTGTAGAGAACCGGAGACCCTTTTTACTGGAAAAGAGGAATTCCATCTTAGTCCTCACGGCTGACAACGCATCTGCATTTTTTGGCAAAATTATATCTACGGGCCACAGCACAACCATTTACCATCAGGTGGACTGCGTGCTCGCTTGTCACCCTTATCCTATAAAAATATGAGACACTATGCCGCTTTATGAAAAGTCACTTCAACAACACTACGAGTAAGTCCTATTATCACCCATTAGCTTATCGGCCGAATCTGTGACACGCTGGAGTAGCTTTTCTCAAGTTGAATTAAGCTTATTTAACTATTCTCTTCGACTTTCATTATTTACGCCACGTGATCAGAAAATGATAGATTTTATATCACAATTTAAACTACAACTTTAACTTATAATAAAAATGCAATCTGGATAATATATACCTTATTAAAAAAGAAAATTCAAGGAGAAGTTGTGACTAAGTGCATTTCATTAAGTTTCGATTAAAATTTTGTCAAAATATTACGAGAACAAGATTATCCAAAGACTACGTGATACTATATTAAGTTTATGGATAAGCCAAATTGAAATAAATTTATTATTTTCGATATTGCTTTATTCCATGAATCATCATCCATCTTCTTAATATAATGTATTGATAATCTGATTTCACAGATTTCATCAGTTTTTATAGGTATAATCAGTCCAAGTGGCAGTTATCGCCCTCGGTCGTTTGGGAAGAGCGAGGCGGCAATAGATTATTTTAAATCTATTCTTCAAATTTCTTACAGGCCAGTTATCCTCATTTATGCAAAATTTGCCCTTAATGTCGAGAAAATAACGAAAATTAATTTACGGACTAACGACTATAATTTTAATACCTTCGACGTTATTTCATATTTAAACTATTTTATTTTTAAGTAAACTCAATCGTATCAACCGTGCAAAGATCTATAATTACAAGTGATGATAAATCTTTTCTGCTGAAATATTTGTAAATATCGTCTCAATCTTTTAATATTGTTAATTTTTTAGCGATAAATAATTTACTTTCTTATATTAATATATTATCATACGTAAAAAGTAAATAGTAGTAAAGTATCTTAAAAGCATATTTTAATCAAGCTAAATTATCCTAAAACCACTTCCTAAATGCAAGTTCATTTGTTTTTCGCCCACGTTCACCGCCGGGGTGCAAGTACAAAACTGGTTGCATTCCAGACGAAATTGCCAATATTAGAAATGTGTTCTCGTGAAATTTAAGAATTGAGTGTAGTGGCACATAATCTTGTTTTTAGTACCATCGTGATAATTATATTAAAACAATATACTTTTTCTAAAAGAAAGCTGTGTGGTTGACGTCTATATAGCGTGGTGACATTTTTGTATATTAGCAGTAGACCTATTGTTTCGGGTCAAGATGTTTATCCTTTTAATATTTATATATGTAAACTCACCCCACTGTACAGGACAAAATGCTAGTATCACGTTTATAAAAGAAAAAAAAACAATGTGTAATACATTTTAAAAAGCTAATCATATTTATATTTGTCTCGTACCTGTCGTAAAATTTGACCCTGTGCAGTGTCGTAGCCCAGAGTGGCAGGTTTTATATAAAGGAAGAAGATTACCTTTACTTATGATTTATTTTAATTATGATTTTTATATTTAACGTACTATTCATCATCATCGTCAACATCACTACAACCCATCACAGGACCACTGCTGAACATAGGCCTCCTCCAAGGAATGACACAAGACACGTTCATGAGCAATCTACATCCATCAACTTCCTGTATCTGTTTTGTCACTCTCGTCGGTTGACGGTCCTGATGGTAAGTGTCGACCGCTCACGAAAAACTCCCGTGGTAATTGCGATGAAAATGCAAAGGGATGCAATATCTCTTCGCAGCGCCAGTGAATCAATTCGCAGCGCCAGTGAATCAATCCGATTAGAAAGAACTCAGTCGTCGACGATTCGTGTTGATCTTAATTGGATGCTTTCAAGAACAACGAGCTCGGCCCAAATATAAGAACAGTATGTGAGGCCGAACTTGTCTTGCAATTAAATAAGTAATAGCTATAACTCATAGATAAGGCAGAGTGATTTGCAGTAAGAACCCGTAAAAGTTCTGCTGACTACCGAACCAGACAAATATGAAGTACAGG